ATCAGTATTAATGGAGGAGACACTTTTACACGGACTCAGACTTTACCTAATAAAGAAAAGGTAAGAACATAAGCATTAAGAAAGTCTTATTGTTGCCCTTCATTTATGTTGAAAAGTGAAATTATACTTGTCACTTTAATTAATGGATTTGTATTACTTGAACAACAACAATCTTTCATTGTAATATACTTCAAGTTTGAGTTAAATAAAGTAAAAAGTCCCGGGGTTATTGTCGCATCTAGGCCTGCTCTACATGGCTGTTTATGTTGTATTTAAATGTGTACGTCGCTGTCCGTGGTGCTGAACGCAACTTTCTTAATGCGCTCTGCCTGAAGTCCGGATAAGCATGTTCCATTCTAAGACATGAGCTGTGTTTGTGTGTTTGTGTGTGCAGCATATTTGCAAGCGAACATATCTTTATGTCCATTATAGAGTGTGCATATTGCATAACTGTATAATTTGCACACAGCAGATTTTACAATGACAATAGTATATCCGCATTCTGTCCTTTAAAATATGTTGTTTTTTTAAACATGTCAAAATCCTTGCAATAACTTGTAGTACAGTTTATAAGTGTGTACCAGTCTCTTTATGGGGAGTGTTTGATAGTTGTTTATAACGTGTGCAGTTACGGAAAGTTTCCACAAAGAGACGCTATAGACCGTAACACAGAAATGTTAAGGCTCCTCCCAGAGTAGAACAGAATGACTGTAGTTTTTATCACAAAGAGACACGGGAAGAGAAGGGAGGGTATAATGGAGTCCGCGTCTTTAAGAATAAGAACATCTAAATAGTGTTGGCTAAAATTCTGTCAAGTCTCACAATTCCACGGTCGAAACCCTATTGTGGACGTATGCTTTGGTCTTTTTCGGCGGAATGATGCCTTTACCGAGTAGCAGGAGGTCTATTGTTACATATCTCTTGTTGGTGCTGTTGGATTGTTACTGGGAAGCGGTGTCTGGGCAGCTCTCTTACTCCGTCTCAGAGGAGGTAAATCTGGGGACTAATGTCGGAAATATCGCCAAGGATCTAAACCTCAATGTGCAGGATTTGGAGTCCCGTTTGTTTCAGGTTGTTACCGGATCAAAGAGGAAATACTTCGAGGTAAACGTAAAGACCGGATTTCTTTATGTCAATGAGAGGATAGACAGAGAGGAGCTCTGTGCAGAGGAACCCAAATGCACTGTTAGCGTAGAGGCTGTGATAAACAACCCATTAAAGCTTTACCGTGTAGAGATAGAAATTAGAGATGTGAATGACCATTCTCCGTCTTTTAACACAAAATCACAAATACTAGACATAGCAGAGAACACTTTGCCTGGATTTAGATTTGCGTTATCGGAAGCAAGCGATGCTGATGTGGGTAAAAATGGTGTTAGCGCGTATAAGCTCAGTCCAAACGAATACTTCACTCTTGCGACACACAAAAGAGAGGAGAGTATATCTCCAGAGTTGGTGCTGCAGAAAGCCCTAGACCGTGAGAAAAAGCCACATATGCAGCTCGTGTTAACTGCGTTAGACGGGGGAAGTCCACCAAATTCAGGCACATCGGAAATTGAAATAAATGTATTAGATACAAACGATAACGCACCAGTCTTTAGCAGCACTCTTTACAAAGTTCAAACGTTTGAAAATATCCCGATTGGTACGGCAGTCTTCACTTTAAATGCCACAGACGCTGATGAAGGCACCAACAGTGAAATAGTATATTCTCTGCGTAGCAAGGATCAGGACCATATTCTGGATGTTTTCAAAATCGACCCTGACACAGGAATAATTTCCGTGAAAGGAAAAATCGACTATGAGGAAAGAAAAGCTTTTGAGATTCGAGCAGAGGCTAGGGACAGAGGCCAACCTCCTATGTCTGCTCACAGTAAAGTGCTGGTAGAAGTAATTGATGTTAACGACAATGCTCCTGAAATCACTGTGACGTCACTGCTCAACACAGTGAACGAGGACGCTGGTGTCGGTACCGCTATCGCACTAGTATCAGTTCTAGATAGAGACGGTGGTAAAAACGGTGAAGTGAAATGTGAGATCTTAAATACTGTTCCGTTCAAATTGGAGACAAATTATAAGAACTATTACTCTTTAGTGGTTGACGGTAAGCTAGACAGAGAGGTAACTCCTCAGTACGATGTAACAATTTCAGCTACCGATGAGGGAAGTCCTCCTCTTTCTAATACCAGCGTTATTATTGTTTACGTGTCTGATGTTAATGACAATGCGCCGTATTTCCCAGAGCCTTTAATAAACGTTTATGTGAAAGAAAACAGCAAAGTAGGAACAGTTATTAAAACAGTGACAGCCATTGATGCTGACGTCAGCAACAACGGTCAGGTGAGCTACTCACTTTTAGACAGTAATAGTAAATCTCTGCCCCTCCCCACAATGATAAACATTAACTCAGAGACTGGAGAGATAATAGTCCAGTCCTGCACCTCTTTTAACTTGAGCGGTTGAAAACGTTTTCCAGTTTAAAGTTCCAGGCCCACCAGACTCTGGTGTTCCTCCGTCTCAGCAAGCAACGTGACTGTGAACGTTTTTATTCCTGGATGCAAATGACATAATCCAACCGTTCAGGGCTCGCGCCCCTACTTCCTGAGCCCACCGGCTCCGTTAACCAGTGAGGAGCATCCCCTATCTGCCCTGAAGCCGGGAAATCACTTTGTGGCAAAAAGATCAGGGCTGTAGACTGCCAAAAAAAAAAGAAAACCTTTCCCCCCTGGATACAATGCTCTGCTTTCTCTATCCGCCTGTCCTGAAGCCCGCAAAGGAAACAACCTCTTCCCGGATCGAAGCGCAAGCGCAAGGCCGGAGACGAATCGCGGAATAAGAGGAGGATGAGTTGACAATGACCTGAAAGCTCACCCGCCCCTTGGTGGTCTGGTTCCTTGATAAGCGGACGACCTCCCCCTGTGCTCTGTGTCTATTGATGTGGTGTGGTTGAAAGCAAAGCTGACCCCATCAGCACTCCGTTCAGACATGGGCCCATAAGGAGGAAGAGCTTCTCCTGTTTAAGACCCCCTGTATTGCTTGATGCTCCCAATCTTGTGTCTGGTGTCAGCTGATCTTTCTGCTCGAGCCTCAATCAGTTTAATAGCTGTCCAAATGCGCACAGGCAACAGACAAGTTTCAAGCAGGTACAGCGCCCCAAATGATCACACACCCACCCTGCACGGGAGCTGGGTCTTACTCTAAAGATCTACTGCAAGCAGTATGCACGTGTGTTTCAGCTCCAGACGCTTGAACGAGTGACGTACGTGGTTTTTCCCCCGCCCCCGTTTCCGCCTGTAGATGGCTGAGCTGAATCCAGTATTGAAGGAGGAGACAGCTTTTACGCAGAACTCAAACTTTACCTAATAAAGAAAAGGTAAGCCACGCCCATTTATTAATCCAAAACAGTGAATCTTTTCTATATTTAAGTGGACATAACGTGCATGTCTTTGTAACATGCAGATATACGAATATGTTGCAAACCGTGTGTGTTAGCCTATATATAATATACTTTACGTACAAATACTTAAGCTCTGCAGCTATACTTATAAGTATTCTATACCATTGTTAAGAATTTGTAAGGGCTGGTAACTGGTTATTTGGAGGCTCTGTGTAATGTAAAAATGTATTCTCTATCGTGTGCTGATGGTTTGTTGTGTATTAGAAAGGTTTAACTGTCCACGATGGTTTCCATGAGTTTTACAGTGTCTTGGTCACAGTACTTTGCAGTCAATTGAGTAATGGCACGCCATGCACTAAATACCGCTTTGAAGCGCTGTCCCTGGTGCTGAAAACATCTTCTCATTCTTCTATTCTCTGTATTGACATGTGGGTGCTGTCCGTAGTGCTGATATTGTTAAATTCCTTGTATCAGAGTTCAGTAGCTACACAGAAAAAGATAGTGTAAAATAACTACACACACAGATATAGACATAGATATTAATGAATAATGAATTAATGAATAGCAAGACGAATGTATTCAACTGCATAAATAAAGATTGCTCTATGAACAGTCTACCCGCTGAGCTCAAGTCTTTTAAAACCAGCCAATAACTTAGAGTAGTTTGTTCAGCATACATGTTTTTTATAAACAGAGTTTTCTGTGCCTTTTGATAAACATATCCTCTTCTGTTTTGAGCCGTTTTTCTAAATCCAAAAGTGTCACAAGATGTCGCTAGAGACCATGCAAAAAATGTGTGTTCACCGTTTAGAAACTCCTCCTCTCTTCATTACAAAGACGAAAACGTCATCATCTGGCAGTGCTTTGTGAAAATAGCGTACAGACGAGTGAAGCCCTACAGAGAGAGGATCCTAGGCGAGAATGGATACATAAAGCTGTTTTTCACTTTCGGTGGATAGTCCAAGAGGCAGAAACCAGGATTAATTATTTTTTCTTAAGAGCGATGGCTGCTCGGGAACCATGGGATAATATTGTGGGTCTATTTTTTACTCTGCTTTGTCTCTGCGACTGGTCCGTGGCTCAGATATCCTACTCCATTTCGGAGGAGGTGGACAAAGGGACAGCGGTGGGAAATCTTGCGAAGGATTTAAATCTGAGTGTGCAGCAACTCCATTCCGCGGGTCTTCAGATTACCTCTGGGTATAAAAAACGGTATTTTGACATAAATCATGAATCTGGAGTACTTTTCGTTAGCGAGAGGATAGATCGGGAGGAGCTTTGTCCTAATACGGTAAAGTGCTCTTTAAATATAGAGGCCATCCTGAGTAATCCTCGCAGCCTCCATCGAATTGAAGTTGTGATTAACGATATTAATGACAATGCTCCATCTTTTCTGGAAGAAATAACAACAATAGAAATGTCTGAGTCTTCATATGTTGGAGAAAGACATCCACTGCCGATAGCTCATGACGCAGATGTAGGTACTAATTCAGTTAAGAATTACAAATTAAACCCGAATGACTATTTCTCTTTGGATATACAGAGCATTGGTGACCAGAGTGTGTCTGCTGAATTAGTGCTACAGAAAGCATTAGATCGAGAAAAACAGGCTGTTATTGAACTCACACTGACAGCGATAGATGGAGGAAAACCTCCCAAAACGGGGACTTTAAACATACAAGTTAATGTTCTGGATGTAAATGACAATTCACCCTTGTTCAGTAAAACTCTTTACAAGGTCCAAGTTGTTGAAAATGCAAATATTGGCACAACGTTATTAACACTTACAGCTACTGATTTAGATGACGGTGTTAATGGCCAACTAGTTTACTCTTTTACAGAAAGGGGGCGTTTCAACCCTGATGACAAATTCGCCCTGAACGATAATACTGGAGAACTTACTGTAAAAGGCAATATTGATTATGAGGAAAATCAAGCATACGAGATTCGTGTTCAAGCACGAGATAAAGGCAATCCTCCTCGCATTGCACACAGCAAGGTTTTAGTCGAAGTTATTGATGTAAATGACAATGCTCCGGAAATCTCGGTGTCATCACTCATGAGTCCAGTCAAAGAGGATGCTGAATTAGGCACAGCTGTTGCTATGGTGACTATCACTGACAGAGACGGAGGCAAGAATGGTCTGACGAACTGCAAAATTACAGGTTCGGTGCCATTTAAATTAAAATCTAACTATAAAAACTATTATTCTTTGTTGGTTGACGGGCCTCTTGACCGGGAGAGTGTTTCCCATTATAATGTATCAATTACAGCTGCAGATGAAGGAACTCCCTCTTTGTCGAGCACAAGCGTCATTAGTATTCAAGTTTCTGATGTCAATGACAATTCTCCTAGATTCCTGGAATCTTTGATTAATATTTATGTAAAAGAGAATAGTCCGATTGGAAGCACTATTTATACACTGACGACGTTAGATTCAGATTTGAATGAAAACGCAAAGGCAACGTACCACTTAATTAATAGTTCCCCGAAGACCACACAGATAGCTTCAATGGTAAACATCAACTCAGAGACTGGA